ATGACCACAAATGCTTATACAGCTGGGCCAAGGGCTCCGCAATGACCCCTGCCAGCTCCCTCAACACCCTTGGGTGGAAGGCATCTGGACCTGCAGATTTAAAAATGTCTAGCCCTTCCAGAAGATCCCTAACTACATCTGCACTGACTGAAGGCTTGATAGAGCTATCTTACCTTTTGTGTCTTGCAGGGGCCCTCCATTGCCTGGTGCTCTCTCCTTGCTCCCAATGTACTTGAAAAAGGACTTTTTGTTGTCCTTAATCTGGGACACTAGCCTGAGTTCCATCTCTACCTTGGCCTTCCTAATAGCCCTCCTACACTCTCGGGCCAAGGAGGAGTACTTGCACCAAGGAGGTGGTGATAGCTCCACCCTTCCACTGGTTGTACGCCCCACTTTTAGTCCTCAGGCATTATTCCTGAATGCCCTTGCTGAGCCTACACTAACATGGGATTGGATCAGTTACCTATGAGATCCCTTCTGTTCATGTTTCTCTCTTGGGTATGGTCCCAACATTCTTTCACCCATTATGAATAGGCTTCAGCAAGGCCTAATTCAACAATGAAAGAGGGAGGAATGCCCGTCTCTTGCAGAGTTGCTTTATGGCTCAGCATAATCTAGCCCTTAATTTGCTCAGCATAATCTAGCCCTTAACTCTTATAGGGAAGAGTAAATACTTAATGTATATGAAGCACTTTGAAAGATGAAAGATGCTATATAAGTACAAAGTATTAACTTAAAAAACAGTTACTACTGTAACACACTACTTAATTTGTTAGTGGATTTCATATATTTCTTCCTAAATCAAGGGCTAGATTGTGCTGAGCCATAAAGCAACTCTGCAAGTGACGGGCATTCCAGCCTCTTTGCATTGTTGAATTAGGCCTTGCTGAAGCCTATTCATAATGGGTGAAAGAATGTTGGCCTGGATGGAGGTAATCACAGGCATGTTTGTTGCTTGTCTGTCAGAGAAACAAGGGATTTGTGCCTCCTGGACTTCCACCCAACACCTTTTCTGAGCACTAGCTTTGTGTAACAAAGCGGGGTAGACTTGTGCCTTTAAAAGGCATAGGTGGAGGATTAATTTGTATTATGGGGTGACTCAAGTGTTAATGAGATTGATTCATATTGGTGTGCAGTGACAGATGTGACAATTAGCTTGGTGTTTCAGCAGCTACTTTTTTCTCCCACAGGGTCAGTTTCCTTCACTTTTGTCCTGTCATTAGAGAAAAGTTAGATGGTAACTATTTTCCTTCTCAGGATAGCTGTTTCTACTGTCAGAGCATACTGGCGCACACAAGTTTTTCTTTCACTCAGGTTGTCATCTGCTAAGGAAGCTTGAACTTTCCAATGTTTTTGTACCCAGACACTGTAGACACATGCAATACAGTAGATCTAATCTATTATTCTCAGGAAGAACATGAACAAGAGGATTTGCCTCTGACAAAATAAGAATTAACACCTGGTGAGAAGGTCTAATGGTCATTATATTGTGTTAACATATTTTGACAGACAACATCCTCTGTGAATGTACTTTGAAAAATGAAGGCCCAATTCATAGATGATGTAAGTGATATGAATTTGACTCCCTTATTTTAAAACTCCTTTAAACATATCTAGTTATGTGTAAAGGGGTTTAGGTTGGTGTAAGCTATATGCCAGGAAAATGGAAAAAAATAATTTAAAATAGGCACAGCATTCTTTTAAGTACACCTTCTTGTATCCCCTTCCTTGTGTTGTGGTACATTTTTACTGTAGTCATGTCTAAGAATCCTAGTCTGAGCCTTATACAATTGCACGTGTGGCAGGCTTGCCAGCGGCAGCCTGGTGCACCAATTTTGAAGAAGGTTTAAAGTGACTGGTGGGGGCATTTCTTCCCCATCGGGTGGGGGAGGGGGGAGGGCCCCCCCCTGCCGCTACCCAGGGTTGAGGCGAAGAGTCAGACCAGAGAGGGGACTAACAGCCCCCCCTTTCTCTGATTGGTCCATTTCCAATCTGGGGGCAGAGCCTCCAAAGAGGATAAAAAGGCAGCATGCCTGGCACACAGGTGGCTGTGACAAGGGATGAAGGAAAGTGCTAAGAAGTGCTGGCAGAGCTGGCCAGTGGGGCAGAGCAGTTACCCCAGAAGAGCCCAGAAGATGATTCATTGGATGGGGAGCAGCAAGCAGCTATGTCCCCAGCCCCTCCATGAGGGAGCGCAGTGTCGGTGGGCAGCCGATGCACAGAGGGTCCAGGAGCAAACCGAGAATCCAGAGCTGCACATGACAGCTTGGGTCTCCAGCTGCCTGCACAGGGAAGGGCATGGAGGGTCTGGGAACGGACCAAGGCCCCAGAGCCACACAGGGCAGCTTGGGTTTCCAACCCCCTTGTAGCAAGGCACTGGTAGTGCCTGCCACTTTAAGGACTGGGCCAGGGAGGGGCAGGTGCCTGATTAGGTGGCCATTTTAAGGGCCCAGCTCCCTGAGCTAAGGGTAGTTCAGGATCAGCTAGAAGAGAAAAAACATCTCTCTGCTGAGCTCTGCCGGGATCACCTCAGAGGTAAGTGGGGTGGCTTTGAGGCCTCATTAGTCCTTGGTATGACCTAAAACTGTACTCTGCCAGGGCAGGAAGGCCTGCTGGGGCTGCTGGTGGTGCATCAGTCCTCATGTAAATGCCAGGAGTGAGCACCTCCCTGGTGTAAGGTGGGTTGGGGCACCTTAGTCCCCCACCTTTAGGTGGGTTATTTAATGCAGGGAAGGCCAGGTAAGCTTCTTGAAGTATCTGAGCCCACTGGGGTGAGTGGTCCTGCAGGGCCAGGCCTGCTTTGCCAAGCACCTGAGCCAGGAATGGGGGACCCCCAATCCTTGAAAGCCAGGCAAGCATCTTAGACTTGACCTGAGGGACCTGACTAGTCCATGCTGGGGCCAGGACCTAGAGAGGGGTCAAAAGGGCCAGGGGCCCACAGTAAGGGATGCCCACAGAGTAATAAAGTTTTGGGGTCCTGACTGGCCTGGGATGGGGCCAGGGCCTAAGGGGGAGCCGAAGGTCCCAGAGAGGGGACCACAGCTAATGGTCGAAGGGTACGGCTGAATTAGCTGCCTGGGATACCATCTGTGAGGCCTGGGCCACAGTGTAGGGGTGGAACAGAAGTGCGGATATGCGCCCCCACCCCCCACCCCTCCCTCCAAAAAAAAATTGGGGTTCAAAATGGGCAGCCTCCTACCTGATTAACATCCCAATACTATTACATCAAGGCATGGCAGAAGAGAGAGGTGGGTGGCTGGCCCATAGGCAGGAGGCAGGCCGACACTTGCAATGGCCGTGAAAGCTTATGCCTGTCATACCCCTGCACGAGGCAGGGCCATTGGTGCATGGGACGGTGCACTGGGCCACAAGCAGGCTGAAGGCCTGGGAGAGCCCCAAGCCCAGATGAAGCTGAGAGGAGAAGACAACACGCCCAGGAGAGGAGTGTAGCCTCAATAAGCCCCAGAGGCATTGTGAGTCACCCTGGAAAGGGGATTCCCACAGGGGAGTGAGGCACTCCCCTTGGTGGCATATAACTCCCAAGGGAAGGAGGGGCCCCAGGGTTGGGGCCTGGCCAACTGGGTGATTTGGGCAGAGTTAAGATTGCCCCTTAGGGCATTGGTGTGTCCATTCTCCCTCTTCCCCGCCCCTGTAGTTTCTTTCAGGGCACAACAGTTGCGCTCAGGCAGTATGCTAACCTTTTTCACTTGTGAGCCCTGCACCTCTTTATTTGTTAACGCTGACCCTCATGCTTTGTGAACCCTGCACCTCATGCTTTATAATTTTGCACCCTATTAGAGTATATGACTGCATACTGTTCAATGAGACCCTTGTTTTGACCTCCTGATCTCTCACCTGTATTATAGAATGTTTTTTGTTTGTATTGGATATCTATATATAGATCTATACAAACACTCTATATACAGGTCAGAGATCAGGAGGTCAAAATGAGTCTCATTGAACCTATATAACTTAATTCCTCTAATATTAACACACACATACATAAATAGAACTTGTATAGCCTATTTCAACATGTTCTGGCTCTGCTCTCTAGGGAGAGGAAGAAAGTTGCACGCAGCCAGGCAGCTTCGCCTCTCGCAGCACAATGGCACCCGCTAACATCCCTTCACTTGGAGAGGGGAGTATGTAACTGAGTACCACCTGGGTTACACATGTAATAAATACAGTCCCTGCTGCAAAGAGTATACAGTCAAGGATAAGTCAGATGACAGGAGGTAAGACTGAAATTTTTATGAAAAGTATAACTAATGCCTAGTTGCATGTAGGTATCACACCATGGTTTTGGGCCCCTCAGCTGTGAATTAAGTCAACTTAGACTTCTGTATGTTCAATTAGATAAGGTAAGCCAAATTTTAGAGGTGATGTGTTTCAACCAGAGGAAAGGCCATTTGCAAGCTGTTAAGTGAGTACAAGCCAAGTTAAATCTCCTCTAACTTCTTGTTCTGGGGCTGAAAGATGGAAGCTATAATACCACTTCTGACCTCCTTTATGCTGCTAGATTTGTCTCGTATTCTGTTGGAATAAATATTATATTAAAAATGCTAATTTAAATGAGATGCTTTTTAGGCAGATATCATTGTGCACACAACTCTAATTTTGCTTATGTTGCATAAAATGCTTGTGTCCAACAGCTTCTAATATGCACTCTCCAATCCTGTAAAAACAGCATTTATTTCAGCCTAATTCATCACCGTACCAAAGGGGGTGAGAAAAACATCCATACAAAGAAGCAGAATGGCCCCAGTGGGGTTGCAGAGAATAATATTGGAATATCACATCCAGACAACCCTGAGTTCTTGGAAATGCCCATAACTGGATCCAAAATCTTTGGTTCAGTATCATCTCTACTTTTAATCTCTAATCTTTTTCATGTTAATCCTTCCTCTGATAGTTTTTAGGAGCTTGGTAACGAGTAACTGTCTCAAGAAATCCAATTTAATGGCTGCAGTTAAACCTTTTGTTTCTAGGGAAAATACATGTACTGTGCTCCATCTTTCTTGGGTGGAAATGTCCCTGCTCTTCAAAGACTGGAGCATTTTATTTAACACTGTGATTCTTAACCAGGGAGATGTAGCACCTTGGGGTGCCATGGATTCATGTAAGGGGTACCATGCAATATTAGTATTCTTACATGTACAATCTCCTACTCATGATTTATTTACAAAATAAACCCAGAGGTTTCAAATAGGTATCGACAGTGTCAAAAAAAAATTCTGACTTGTGGTCTTTTTTGAGTTCTTTGTAACAGAAACATTTCTCTATTTTTCCATCGTCAAAAACAAGTGAAAACAGCGCTTTTCTGAGGGATGTCTTAAATCTCACAAAGGGTGTCTTGAGTCTGAAAAGGTTGAGAAACACTTTTTTTTTTTACAGGGCCCTTTGATATTCTGGGTGGGTGTGTACATACATACATATCTGTGTGTATACAGTATGTTCATATTAAATTACACACACACGTGTATACTGGCTTTCTCTGCCATGGAGAGGAGCAAGAAGGTACAAGCTTTCGTATTCCCCTGCACAGCTACACAGGGTTTACCTAACTTAGACTCCCCTTCCCACTTTATGTGGGAACGTGCAGGGGTGAGTAAACCATGACAGAACCAGTGGGTTGTAAAGTAAAGTGTATATTGCATTAGGCCATTGCTGGATGCAGCAGAGTTTTCTTCCCCTACACACTTGGCACAACAGAGAAGTTATAGGGGTGTTATGACTCAGAACCCCCTGTGACTCTCACCACTCTGTAGTAGAGCTACTCCTGGGGCAGACACTGCCATGCCATACAAAGGGCTGCAAGTCAAGTCTTTGTCCACCCCCTTGTGATTCTCTGATACCGAATGTCTACTTTTCAACTCTGTTGTTGTAGCTTGGCTAGCCTAGAGAACTATTTATAAAACAGCTACACAAATATAACTATATTTTTATTTTAACCATCACCAAACTGATTTATTTTCAGTTAAAAAAAAAAAAAAAGTACTGTAGTGAAAAGAATTGGAGATTTCTGGAATTAAATGTACTGCAGTATCCTTGCAGCTATGAAGAAAAATAATAATTAGTGTCAGGGCTGCTGTAACCTGGAATTTGACACTTATATATTCTGGACAAGAGAAAATACACTGAAGTTGCACTACTGAGGTCATTTGACTTGTTGTTGTGCGGGCCGCCTCCCGATCCCATCCCTGGCGCCATGAGCGGGCCGGGAGCGATATGCGGCCCCATCTTTGTGCACGCGGGCTGTGGCCAGCAGCCCGGGCACGCGGGGTCGGAGAGGACCGATGGCGAGCTAGAATTAGTCACGGACGCGTAATGGTTGATTTAAAGATTGTTTACTTACACCGAAGATGGTCGCGGTGTAGGCTGGACAGTTTCCCAGGCACAGCTCCGCTTAAATCCTCGTTTGAGGACTCGGACAACACTCGGATCACTCCCACGGAGTTGTCGAGGCTCCGTGGATCCTTTTGCGCGCAGGGAGAGGGATACGTCGAGGATTGCGCTCGGTGACGGGGAGAGGCTAGAGGCTGATCAGACCCCTGTAGCCTTCTTAAGGTACACGCTGGGTCCGATAGGCTCCGCAGCGCTTAGAGATCTTCACACAGCGTGAAGTCTCCTCCTCCTGTTGTTCGTAGAGTCCTCCAACTTGGGCGGAAACCACTCAAGCCTTTTATACGGCTAGCAAGCCAATCGCTAGCCGCCACGTGTGAATAATTTCACGCAAGCCAATAATGGGGCTCGAATTAGAATACGAATGGTGGGAACTCTGCAACGAGCATTTCTGTGCTGCAACAAAGAAATGCACCCTGCAAAGAAAGCTACAAATTGGCGGGAAATCTTCTACACCGGGGTTTTCCTCTGCAGCAGAAAACTCCACCGTGCAAAGAAGCTGCAATTTAGCGGGAACATAATTCTGTGGTGCCAAAGCACACACAAAACAAAAAATCACACCTTTGGGTTGTGACAGTTGTACGCTGCATGCTATCTTTGGGCAAAAGAAAAAGATAAGATCTACGCAATATTTTATGCCGGCTAGTATGTGAATATGAAAAAGCTGTGGAACATGGCCCCTTTTATGTAAAGGACCCCAAAATGACAATTGGATGCCACATAACGAATGCTTGCACCTATGGCCTGAATTAAAAAAGGGAGGAAAAAAACCCAACCCCATCACACATCCAAGAAAAATTCTTAAATTTAACACATGTGATTGAGAACACAATAAGAACTTTGAGTATGAATCAGTCATTTATTAATGAATTATTGAAAATCCCAATGACACCCAGGCAAATTGTTTCAATTATTGTAGAAGTGTCTGGGTTTTATTCAGTTTGTTGATTTCTTAAAATAATGCTTGTAATTTCTAACGGTCTCTCACCATATCAAATAAAATATGTAAATGTGATACCATTTATGTAACAATAATGAAGGGGCAATCCTGCACCACAAAAATAAATAAATAAAAATTGAGGGTCTGCAGGAAATGCAGGCTTGGGTCAGAAATGTTGAATTTGTAATAATAAACAAAATATTGTTTTTCCTATTCTGTATCCATTCTCATTAAAAATAACTTCTGCTACATTAATTTTCCTCCTTGTATATTTTATTACATGATAATGTTTGGTATTGCTGCTGTTATAGTAATGGTTTAAATATACCATATATAGGGTATTTATAAGTTATAAGGCAATCCACTAGCTTAGTTTAATAGCTGATTAATATCTATAGGAGTCCCAAAACTCTTCCAATAAAAGCAGGTCAGCTGTTTACTGACAGGTATATTAGTCATATGTCAATGGCACACTGTACAGCGATGGTGAGCTAGATGACACTAAAGAGTTAAATTTTTCACTTCCTACCGACGTGGCAGGGGGCGCTAGAGAGCCTCCTGCTGTGCCCTCTGCTGAAGCGTTAGGGGGCGCTAGAGGGTTCTTGTTCTCCTCCCCCGCTAGGGTTATATTACTCGCCCCTCCCATCTTGTGGCCTGCGTCTTCTTTACTCACTGTGCCTGCTAGGATTTTTGGCGCCCTTTTCTCAACGGTCGCTCTCTTTCCCTCAGCATCGGCACCATCTTGGGATCTCAGTTTGGCCAGCGCTGCATTCTTTTCAGTGGCTTCCTGGGCCATGGTCTCAATATCGCCGGCTTGATTTACTGCATGCCTTAAAAGCTCAGTTATTGTGCGAAACATGATATTAATTACTTCTCCCTTGCTCCATCTCTTTCCCCCGCATTTCCACCTGGAGGCTTCCCGTCCACCTATCTCCAATC